TAGCTCATGAAAAATAAAAGCTAGAAAGTCATTTTGTTAAATGTGGTTCTCAACATTATAGCTGATATTTTTGTTTACTTTTCTAAGAATGTTCTAAGAATATGAACATGATCATATATTATGTCAAGTATAATTTAAAAATAAACATCTTACTAGAAAGAAAAATGCTACTCTTTAAAGATAAGAATTAAGTAGAATTGTACTATACAAGAAATCCAGATTGAAAGTCAAAGTTCTCAACTCTGATCCAGCTCATCAGTTGTTACTCAAGGACCTCCGTCAAAATCACAACTTCTGAAACTCTTTTCCTCAATTGTAAAATAGGGATAACAGTGGCTACCCCATTCCCTGGGGTTAGAGTATCCAGTAATAATAACACAAAAATTTTTAAAGTAGTGACACATAAATACTACATACGAGAGTGTTTTCATTATAACATTTCAAGAACTGTGTGAATTTGGCGCCCTTAATGCTGTGTGACAATTTTTTTTGAGACAGAGTCTCACTTTGTCTCCAGGCTGCAGTGCAGTGCCATGATCTTGGCTCACTGCAACCTCCGCCTCCCAGGTTCAAGCTATTCTCCTGCCTAAGCCTCCCGAGTAGCTGGAACTACAGGCGCGCGCCACTATGCCTGATCTTTGTATTTTTAGTAGACGGGGTTTCACCATGTTGGCCAGGATGGTCCTGATATTTTGACCTCGTGATTCACCCGCTTTGGCCTCCCATAGTGCCGGGATTACAGGCGTGAGCTACCGTGCCCGGCCTGCTGTGTGACTATTATTGCATGTGTACACACTTGGTTGTCTTATTCCCAGGACCAACATTTCAAACTTTCACTCCTACTCGCCAGAAGAACCCTTCCTGGCGTTTTCACTCCGATGCAGGTCATTAAGGTACAATGGAAAGAGCACAGACACTATGGTTGCAATCTTAGATCCTCTATCTACCCCCAGACCTTAGGCAAGTTTCTTAACCTCAGTGAGCTTCAATTTCCTCATCTGTAAAACACGGATAATCTCTGTCTTAGACAGACTTCAGGGTTTATAATAACTTAAAAGCCAACCCATAGTAAATGACTCTCACCTTCAACAGATGATCTTCCTTCTTGTGATAATTAGAATTTATGGCTCCAGAACTTTAGGCTATTTTGTTCTCTGCAGTATCTTCCTAGAAGATTACCTGGTATAGAGCAGTAGCTCAACAAGTATTTAGCCAGTGAACGGATTCCCTCCACCTTTCTTATTCCCAAAATAATATCTATCTCAGTCTTTACCTTACCGTATCTACGTGTGACTTCCAGTGTTGACAACACCCTTTCTTGCTTCTCTCCTCTTTTAGTTTCAGTGACCTTCTCTCTTACTTCCTCTGTTCTCCAATTACTAAGTCTGTCTTTCCTGGTCCCTTCCATTTACCCCTCTCTCAAACTGTAGAGAAAACGTAATGCTTTCAAGATGAGTGAGGCTTCTGGAGTTAATCTGATGATCAAATCATAATCTCTCTGGGACTGTAATATCAGTACAGTAGGAATAATAATAATAAATAATACCAACCCTGGACAACTGTCATGAGGACTGAAGGAGATGGTCAATGTAAGACATTTAGCACAGTATCTGGCATACAGTAATGAGTAAATAAATATTATTACTAACCAAGGCTACCTTCTTCCACTCTACATATTCTTCCATAGCTTAAACTCCCCAAATTCATTAAAGCCTCACAAATCCCATCTTCAGCAAAGACCACTTTCCTGGCTGGCTTCCAGATGAATATACCCATTGCCTACCAGATATCACCACCTGAAGACTTGCTGCACAATAAACTCAACATATTCACCCAACACATTTAAAATTGAACCCATGTATGTTTCCTTCCCACCTATAAAAACATGCTCCTCCTCTCTTTCAACCCCTCACTTAGTAAATGCATCACCACTGATTCATACTCCATGTCAGAAGGAATCATCCTAGACCACAACATACTCTCACCTTCAGGCCAACAGTCTTGAGTCTAAGTCCTCAGACCTGTCACTGGTCCAAGCCATACTCATTATGTGCCTGTACTATTACGCTAGGTTTTTCCTTTTACTGGTCTCTTTATGGACAACAATCTCACTCCCCTCCTGTTTATTGTGCATGATTACTAGATTGCTTCTTCTGAAATAAAAATCCAATATCATTTTCCAGGTTGAAATCCTGTAGCCACTCTTTATCTCCTGAAAAACAGTCTAAACCCCTTTGCCCAACATGGAATGTCCATCATCTGGCCAACCAGTTCTTCCAACCACTTCTCCGCCATTCCCCATCCACAGTGTATTCTAGCCATCCCAGAACATAACAAGCTCTCGTGTTCCTGCCACATTTCATGTGCTGTTTCCTCTTCCTAGAATGTAGTGTTGACTCTGTTAAACATCCCTAACCCTTCTTTATGTGATCTCCTCCAAAGTAGCGTGGTATAATCAGACTGTAGGTTCAAATCATATTTCTCTTCATTATCAGCTATCTAACCTTGAGCAAGCTGCTTAACCTCTCTGTGCTTATTTTGTCATAAAAGTCTAACATGTAAGACTACAAGCAGTATCTATACCTCTTAGGGTTGTTGTGAGGATCCATGAGTCAATATATGCAAAGAGCTTAGAACAGAGCCTGGCACGTGGCATACAAGATAATGGTTAGCTATTAAATATCCTGCAATCCTCACTGGAAGAATCAAACCCTCCAGATTCCATGCTCATCCTCACACAGCATCTATTACATTATTATAACAACAATTACATTTTTTTTTTTTTTTTTGGAGACAGGGTCTCACTCTGTCACCCAGGCTGGAATGTAGTGGCATGATCACAGCTCACTGCAACCTTGACCTCCTGGGCTCAAGTGATCCTCCTGCCTCAGCCTCCTGAGTAGCTGGGACTACAGGCACCGGCCACCACACTAGGCTAATTTTTTGTATTTTTAGTAGAGATGGGGTTTCACCATGTTAGCCAGGATGGTCTCGATCTCCTGACCTTGTGATCCGCCCGCCTCAGCCTCCCAAAGTGCTGGGATTACAGGCCAAGTATAAACTGATTTTTAAAAGAAAAATATTGATAACGCTTTTAGATTTTAGACTATATAGAGCATAACTTCACACTATAGATAATCTTTAAGAGTACACTTTGAGACTCACAGTAGTAAAACTGACAGTTCCAAACTTAATTTTCTAATGCCTAGGGATCCTACAAAGAGGTAAGAACCCAAACTCAATATCACTCTTTCACACACATGCAAACAAAATTGGTTTTCCTTTTTGCTTACGGTTACAGAGGGAATGAGAGAAGCAGTGAAGGGCATGGAAGCTTCAGGGCAGATTAGAAAGTAAACATGGGTACGCTGGGTGCGGTGGCTCATGCCTGTAATCCCAGCACTTTGGGAGGCTGAGGTGGGCGGATCACCTAAGGTCAGGAGATTGAGACCGTCCTGGCTAACACGGTGAAATCCCATCTCTACTAAAAATACAAAAAAGTCGCGCATGGTGGTGTGCGCCTGTAGTCCCAGCTACTTGGGAGGCTGAGGCAGGAGAATCAGTTGAACCCAGGAGGCAGAGGTTGCAGTGAGCTGAGATCGTGCCACTGCACTCCAGCCTGGGCAACAGAGTGGGACTCCATCTCAAAAAAAAAAAAAAAGTAAATATGAGTAAAGTAAAAGTCTAGCAAATAATCTACTGGGGTAACAAAGTCAAATACTTTCATGGGTCACATAGCAAGTGAAGTGGGTAAGTCAAGGCTACCCATTTTGCAAATGAAAGAACATATGCCCTATGTAAGGATATTCTAGTCTAATATTGTTTAAAACATGATGCCTTTAAATGAAGTAACTCTAGTGGAATTTGAACTGTGGACACAAGTTTGTGTCCTGTGTGTAAGAACTCAGTAAAAACTGCCAGGTCTCAGTAAAAGCTACTGATTCACTCTGGACAACCTGGAGAGTGGTAGAAATAAGATGGCAAGAATAGGAGTAAAAACATGGAGAGAAACACTGTCAGAGTACTAACAGAGCTGAGAGAACTCCAGCTTTTCAATCTCCAGGCTGGGATTTCCAATGTGAAAACTCATCTTTTATAAAATACTGGCATTTATACCTGGGCACTGACAAATCCCACAAGTATAGTGCTGAGTGAAAAAATGGACAGAAGACATACAAGAGAATGCCATTTATATAACATTCAAAAACACAATACTAGAGGCCAGGCACAGTGGCTCACACCTGAAATCCCAGCACTTTGGGACGCCAAGGTGGGCAGACCGCTTGAGCCCAGGAGTTTAAGACCAGCCCACACAACATGGTGAAACCCCATCTCTACAAAAAATACAAAATTAGCCAGGCATGGTGGCATGCACCGGTGGTCCCAGCAACTTAGCAACCACTCAAGTGGGAGTGTCACTTGAACCCAGGAGGTCAAGGCTGAAGTGAGCCCAGATCATGCCACTGCACTCCAGCCTGGGTGACAAAGTGAGACGCTGTCTCAAAAAACAAAAAATCTCCATAATACTAAACAATATATTGATAGGTTAGTTGTGGAAGGTGGGAGAAGAAGGTGTAACGTAGGATGTTCTTTCTTAAGCTGTATTGTATGTCAATATTTATTCCTATATATAAGCACATGTATATGTGTTAATGTGTACGTATTTTGTGTGTGTATGTGTATGTGTCTCTCTCTTTCTATATATATATATATATTTTTTTTTTTTTTTTTTAATTTTTTGTAGAGATGGGGTTTCACCATGTTGCTTGGGCTGGTCTTGAACTCCTGGGCTCAAGGGATCCACCCACCTTGGCCTCTCAAAGTGCTGGGATTACAGGCGTGAGCCACCACATGTATGTGTGTGTGTGTATATATATATACACACACACATACAACATATACGCACTTGTGCACACAAAATACATTGTCTTACTTGTATGAGATTTCATGATAAAGACGTATTATCTAAAAAAACCCATGATTTATACTTTTTCACATACGATTTTGATATTCCAGAAACATCTCAACCATTCGTTCTTCTTCCTTTAATTTCACAGACAGCTTTTCTGAAAGAGAAATTGAACTTTCAATTCAGCTGAAATAACACTAAAAAATAAACTAGAACAGCAAAAACAGCATGATACAAGTTAACATTAGGTACCTGCAAATGCTTTGATGGAGTCCTTGTAGGTATCTGTTAGTCCTGCCATTTGACAGGAGGTGTCCGTACTTTTGAATTTATTCCAAAATTCATTTATGCTTTTATCGAACAGTGCCAGTTCATCCTCTACCATTATGTAGGACAATGCTAAAAACAGAATACACATTGCATTTTTTAAGTTATTGAAATCAAATCAGCCACATATTCCAATCAGGTATACAGTATTTTGGCAATTTGTCCTCTGCTAGAAAATAGCAACTTATCTTTAATTCTAGGTATTCAAGGGTAGATCAAGCAACCTAAGCTTAACTGTTGTTAAGGTGCAGCAAGAATTCAGGATACCTTTACCTTCTAGCAGCTTGTTAGTAGGTAAGTGTAACTGCACAGGACACTTAAACACGCTATGACCTTGGGTCCATTTTCTCACAAGTAAAACCGTTGACTTCTAAAACACCTTTTCCAACGCCAACCCTTTCTGATCAGAGATCATCAGTATCGCCAAGTGGCCGGCACCCTCCCACAGAATAAGACCCCACACCTCTACCCTATTTCTCTCCTCCACCTCAGAACAGTAAAAGTTAACAGTAAAATAGGGACTAAGGTGGGAGTTGAGCGGGTTCTGTCCAGGATGTGTGCAAGTCACCTCGGGCCTCAGTATCCTCTGTAAAAGGAGGTCCTGGGAGAATCCTGGACCCGCCAGTACTCTGCGACGCTAAAACCTTCCCAGGAGGACCAAAGATATCTCCTGCAGTGAAACCCAGAACGCTTTGGGTTCGCAGCTGCCCATTCCACCAGGCTGTGAGATCCAAACAGCAACAAGATGCGCATTTCACAAACGCCGCCGCAAATACACACATTCCGCCTCCAAATTCGTTTCCCCTATCGCGACAGGCGAGCCGAGGAGCCCAGCTCGGCGCCCACCTCCCTCACCTTCGCAGGCAGGCCTGAGTCCCGCCGCCTTCCCCACACCAGATAAGCGCCCACTCTAGCCAACAGCCGAGCTCCAGACGCAGCTCCCACAGCCCCGCCAACTTTCCAATTTCAAACCTAGTGCACTTCCCGCCACCCGCCTCCAGGCGCACGTTCGCCTTCTGATTGGCCGATAGCACAGGCTCTTCATGACAGGATTGGTTGAACTCACCCTTGGATTCTCGCGGGGAAAATGAGGGGAAAAGGGCATTCTGGGATTCGTAGTTCTTTTCAGAACAACAGCCAGCGTCTCCGCTGTGACCCGAAAGTATTAATAGCACCCGAAGAGCTCGCCCACAACAAGTCATTCATCGGCTTCAAATAAAGGTTTCTGGAACAAATATATATATTGACCTTTAATCGTATCTTTTGCAAGAATACATCCTCTTCTTTGTATTCACCTTGTAAAGTGGACTTCAATTATGAGTGGCCAGAAACATTAAGATGGTCCTCAGAATAGGTTTTTACTGCTTACAAAAATATTCCTTCTTTTCTACACCCCCAGCTTCTCTAACAATGTTTTTAAGGCCTAATAGAACACTATGTTACTATCCTGCAGAAGTGGAAGAAACTAGAGCACTATCAAAATCACCTGCTGTGTTCCTTGAGGACAGGAATGAGGCACAAGGTATTCAACTAGGATTTGCCAGAGTAGACAAGCTGCAGGGAGTCTGCGTTGTTCAGAAACTCTGAAAGGTGACATGGATTCGGTATTTGAATCCTTCTTGGTAAAGCTGAGGAAGAAAGAAACTAGGGAAAGAACCTAGAGAACACGCTTTCTGAAGAATGGAAAATAAAGCTGGCTAAAATAATGAGGTCAAAGTTATTATTTCCATCTTAGACTATGGTATGTTTGTGAAAATAAAGTCTCCTATTATACACCAAAAGATCGTTACTATACTAGTTTCTTTTCATTTTCATCAACAATACAAACACCAACAAGAAATAAATATGTAAACAACATGCTCAGAGGACCAGATATTAGCCATTCTTTATCCAAGAACTAAATTAAGACCTGTGAAGCCAGGACAAGTTATTATGAATATTTAACACTTCACAGTATGCCCAAAAGTCACCTTGCAGCCTAGAGACTGCTCTTAATACAGTTAAACATACAGTTTACTGCGATAAATCTCCTTTCATTTCCAAGTATTTTCCCAAGAACTTCTGATTTTTGTATATCTGATACTATTTACCTTAAAGCAAAATTTTATGAATTGAGCCTCTCAGAACTTCAGCTGATTGAGTGCTGGTACTCATTTTTAGGGTTTCCACAGTACCGCATTAGTGAAGGTAGTACTTAAGAAGATTCATGGAAGGGGGCTGACTTGGTATCATGTTGATGAATTCCTCACGAAGTTTTTACACTGGTCTTTATCAGACTGTTTAGTGAAGATTCTTGCTCTCTTTGGGTCTTCAGCTAAGAGGGGTGATTGCCCTACCAATGTGTGGTTATTAGGGCAGCCTCAGGGTGTCTATTGTTTTTTATTCTTTGAGTGCTCCTCCCCAGTCAGGATGTGAGGAAGAAGTTTCTTTGTCATTTGTCAAAATTTTCATTTCTGAAAGACTGGCTGAATAATTTCTCTCGTATCCCCAAGGATAGCTAGAGACAACCAGGTCTTCTTTCGGCTCAGTGCACAGAATAGGGCCTCCAGCTTTCTCAGCATTAAGGAGGGGAAAACAGACCCACCGACCCATTATTATTCACACAACTCCACCATCACCACCACCACCATACTTACGTGCCTTTCATTTCAACCCAACCAGGGTTTATTGAGTTTCTATTTTGTGCCATGTACTGAGCTGAGCACTGCCTTCTCTGGGATATACGGTCTGTGACCCAGGGTTAGGTTTCTGCAGGTTGGGGAATAGAAAGATGCCACATGTTCCCAGGCTGGAGGTGTTTCTAGAAGGTGGTTATAGTCTTGCTCGGACTGAAAGCTCTATTGCTCCTCCCCTGAAAACTTAATTCTTTCTATGATGAGTGAAGGATAATGGGGTATAAGGATAAAAGATCATTGTCCTCTATTGCACATATGCTTGCTGGGTAGATACTTCGCATTTTTGGGACAGAGCTAAGGATAGAAATGATCATGAGTAATGCCATGGTTGAGACTATAAGTTCCCCACCTTTAAGTATAAGTTTCTCTTTATGACATTCACATTTATGCTGACATTCACATTTACACTTTCAACATCCATTCACTAAGAAAATCAGAAATGACAAAAGTTACTATGAATTCAAAAGAGGAGTCTCTTCTTGCAGATTCCAGTTTGAGGACCTACAATATTGAAAATGAAAAGATTCTCGAACAGAAACTTTCAATCTTCTAGATTTCTGAATGGCCTATGTCAAACATTGCAATAGATGATTTAAGAAAGTAAGTTTTCTGACAATTGCTATAAAGTACAGTATCCAAAGTGGAGTCAATGCCAGGTTACACCCGGACTCTTTCATCTCCTTCCCAAAATTAAAAAAACAAAATAAAATGAAGGAAGGAAGGTCTGGGACCTTGTATCAGTCTGTTCTCACATTACTATAAAGAAATACCTGAGACTGGGTAATTTATAAGGAAAAGAGGTTTAATTGGCTCATGGTTCTGCAAGCTGTACAGGAAGAAGAGCAGCTCTGCTTCTAGGGAGGTTTCAGGAAGCTTCCAATCACGGCAGAAGGTGAATGGGGAGAAGGTACTTCATGTGCCAAAGCAGGAGCAAGAAAGATCAGGGGGAGGGGGAGGTGCCACACACTTTTAAATGACCAGATCTCATCAGAGCTCACTCACTGTTGCAAGGACAGTACCAAGAGGATGGTACTAAACCATCCATAAGAAATCCACCCTCATGATCCAATCACCTCCCACCACTATGCCGGAGGTCTGATATGGTTTGGATCTGTGTGGTAGAAGGAAGTCACCAAATTTTATCCCCCAAAAAGAAACTATAAAACTGGACCAAATCATCAAAAACAACCATTTAAGTGACCTGGAAATTGACTAACAGATTACAGCAAACTAAGGCATTTATTCATGAAAAATGATTCAAAAACATCATGCTAAGTGAAAGAAGCCAGGTACAAAAAACTACATATACTATGATTTAATTTACATAAAATAACCAGAAAAGGCAGATTCCCAGACACAGAAAGCAGTTCAGTTTTTGTATGGGGCTGGGAGCAGACCCAGGCACTGACTGCCAAAGTGCATGAAGAAACTTTCTGGGGTACTGGAGATGTTCTGAAACTGGTTTGTGTCAATTACTGGCAACTCTATAAATATATTAAAAATCATGGAATTATACATTTAGAATGAGGAAGTTCATGGTATATAACTTGTAACTCAATAAAAGTGTTAAAATTAAAAATAAAAGATGAAGGACATCAGAGCTTCAGAAGAAAAAAAGACTACATCTCCCAAGCACTCAGAAAACATTCAGTATAGAAAGAAAAACATCCAGGTTATTTTTATTATGGTAAGACACTCATAACATAAAATTTACCATCTTAACCAATTTTAAGTGTACAGTAAAGGGATGTTAAGTGTATTCACAGCGTTATGGCACCATCACCACTATTCATCTCCAGAACTCTTTTTATTAAAAACTTTGTCCATCAAATAACGAATCTGTCTTTCCTCCCCTCACACCCTGGCAACCACCATTCTACTTTCTGTCTCTATGAATCTGACTACTCTAGGTACAATTTTTAAATTGTCTCATAAATATCAAAAATGAGGATTTCTTTTACAGCTTTTAAATACATTCATCAATGAATGTTAATGTTTTTAGGTGTGATAATGGTATTATCTCATTTATATTCTTGAACATTTTTTCCCTTTCATCCTACAGTTCGCATTTCTAAATTCTACTCATATCTCAAGGCCCAGCCACTTGCCATTTCCACCACAAAAGCTCCCTAATCTCACGGACTGAAAGCTATGTCTGCCTTTCCTTTTTTCCATTTACCCTATCTGTTCACCTCTAAGGACACAATGGTATGTGACATATGTAAATATCATATCTTCCCTACTAGACCACAAGATTCTTGAGGTCTGATCTATCTCTGTCCTGTGTGGTACAGTGTCTTAGACTCTGTCAGTGTCGTAGACTCATGCTTCTCAAAAGTGAGAGGTTCTCCTCCTAACAACATCATCATTATCTGGGAACTTAGAAATACAAAGTCTCAGACCCCATTCTATTCTTAGCGAATCAAAGATTCGGAGTCCCTGTAATCTGTGTTTTAACAAGCCCTTCAGGGGAATTGGATGAATATTAAAGTTTGAGAGTCACTGCTTTACACAATCTCTCTATACAGTACTCTTTAAGTCATCTATAAAAATGAACACAGCTATACAATACATTAACTACTTGGAAGAAAGTTAATAGTACTGCTCAATGGGCAACTCTGTTGAGTCCTTCGGTAACCAAAGAAAAAGTATATAGATGTATAGGTCATGATCATTTCCAGAGAAAAGTACCTAAAGAGACTAATGGAGGGGGTTACTTAGAACAGCTGTAGCAGGGCCATTTATAATAGTGTCATTATGGAATACCAATATTCCTGGGATGCTAGCCAGAATGAAGGTAATGATTTTCTGAAGGTCACTGGGGTCTAAATTCCATCTTAAATAAATACATTTTACATTGCAAGGTGACCCTGGAGAGATCTCAAATACAGTTTATTTTAGAGAAAGCAGATAAGTTTGTGGTAAAAGGATAATGACCATGCAGAGACATTAAAGGTCAATGCCTCCAAAATACATTTTTGTTTACTGCCACCTTATAAGTAACATAAGCTAAAGTCAAATATCTCTGAATGGTGTAGAATTGCCATGAGCACTATAACTCAGTGATGAATGGTTCATTTTATGATAAGAAATATCTTGTGGTTATATAATATTTGATGTGGTGAAACAT